TACTTATCTTGTAACGCTCCTTAAACGATCGCCTTGACCTTGTGCCAAATCGTTAAACCGCCTCTAATATCTTTGAGAACGTTACGCGGCATAACCATTTTTCAAGCGACAATCCGTCGCATTTGCCCCATCTCTGAACTCGACATTAAACCCGTTACAATATGAACAGTTTAATGATATCACTTATCTTACTGAAGGTGGATTTAGTAAAATATATAGTGCGATATGTGTTAATGGAATAAAAGATACATGGAATGGTCATAAGCAAGAATTTAAAACACGTAAAAATCGGCAAATTGTTCTTAAAAGTCTTAATAATTCTGATGCTATAAGTCCCGACTTTTTAAATGAAGTTTGCATTATTATAATTACAATTACTGTATATCATTCACATGGCTCATTATTATTAATTTTCATCATTTAACTTATTTATTTCAGTTAAAAAATTATTTTCGATGTTCAGGTGGCGAATATATACATAAATATTATAGCATCACACAGAATCCCGAAACAAATAATTATATGATTGTAACGGACTTTGTAAAACATGGTGATTTGCATAATTATATTTCAAAAAAGTTTATTAATTTATCTTGGAAGCAAAAACTATTGACATTAAAAAACATAGCATCGGGACTTAATACAATTCATAATAAAAAAATTATTCATCGAGATCTTCATAGTGGTAATATACTTGTTCAAGATTCCAAGCGTAAATTGATGTAAAAATAGGAGATTTTGGAATAAGCCAACCAAGAAAACGAGATAACAGATACAAAAGAAATATATGGAGTGATTCCATATATTGCACCTGAGATATTTATTGGTGAAAAGTATATGACAGCATCAGATATTTACAGTTTTGGAATGATTATGTGGGAAATGACAACTGGACAAAAGCCTTTTTATTATCGTAATCATGATGAATATCTTATTCTTGATATTCTTAATGGTTTTAGTCCTGAATTAATTAATGATTTACTACAGCCTTATATTGATTTAATGGAAAAATGTTGGGACTCAAATCCGTTAAATAGACCAAGTGTAGATATCCCTTTTCCGTGGGATAGTAATAATGATATTATTCTGAAATTAGATAATCAAAAAATAAAATTTCCAGAAAAATTTAATGTGCACACCTATCAAAAAAATAAACTCACGGGCAATATATACAAGTAGATCACTAAGGTCTTTAGCTAACACTGCTCTCTGGATGAAATTAAACTGTAATATTCTTACAAGTATTATTTCTAAAATTACTTCGTATTACTGCTTTCTTTTTAATTTACATAAACAAAAGCTTAAATATATTCCTATAAATAAACAGATTCTCTCATTCCATCAAACATTTACTCAATAAATAACGCAAGAAATGGTGACTATTAATAATTTTTCTAAATTATCTATATCAAAAGCAAATTTTTAATGACCAAAAATTTTCTATCTTTAACAAAAGCCTCTTTAAATTTAACGGACGAAAAGAAGTATAATTATGTTTGTAATAATAAATATCCTAATTTGTTGAGAATACACATGCAGACCTATGTCATCACTTAGTTACGTTCTATACAAAAGTAAATTCATTTATAAAATAAAGTTGTGGCTAGTGATGTAAACATTCTATGTCTATAGTTTAGAATTAGAGGAAACAAAAGTTTCCACTTATTTACATACAGATCAGGATATTATTCATTAATTTTGATATTCAACAGTTTCAATGATTTAATGTAACTCATATATATATTTATATTTAATTAATAAATAGTGCTTCAAATAACAAAACAAAAGCATTGGTCCGAAATGTTCAACTCACAAAAATGAACCATTATCAACAGAAATTGGCACCTGCATCAAGTTTTAATCCCAACATTCCAGAAAATAATCAAAATCAAACAATCAGAAATTATACGCTAAATAAATCAAGAAAGCATATGTTTCAAAAAACTGACGATGGTATATATATATTGACAAACAAATTATTATCTAATATGCAATGAATTACTAATATAAAATTTACAGTGAATGCTCATAATAAAAAAATAAAATATAGTGTGATCCCGGAAATCGGCGAGTCTGTCGCTAAACTAATCCAACCCTCGCGTAACCTACGGCGGCTAAGTCGAAATA